TATTACGGTAAAATTATAATTGTGTTATATAATCTTGTATACCAATTCTGAAGTATCCATCAAACTAATAGTTGGTAAATACATTTGTATAATATAATTATTTTATATTTAGGATAATATAATAAAATTTTAAACATAATCTGAAAGATAAGGTTAATATAATTATAATTTTAAGAAATTATTATTTGAATATTTCTGAGTTATTTCAAATTTATTTACATATTAAAACATATATTACATATAAGCGATATACATTCAATTCTATATTATCTAAATATTTCTTTTTACATAACACTTCTTTAACTTTTAATTTTTTATATAATATTCATATAACATGCAATACCCGAAGCATGATCTTTAGATAATGTTTGTTAGGAAAAATCAGTTTCCATAGTAATTTAATTCTTCTAATTACGTTTAAAAGATTCTGAATTCGCACGAAGATCCACAGTCTTTATGAAGAAATAAATTGACTGTTACATGTTTCAGGTGGCATAGGCGCAGCAACGGTCGGAGCAGTGTTTTATGGGAACAGCCTGCTGGGCTTGATTCTATTTTTCTGGCTATCGTCACGTTGGGCGTCCTTTCAGTGCGAGTATAGGGCTATGGAACAATACATAGATAGGTCAATATCGTGCTCGCCCGCGGATGCAAAGCGTGACATAGTTCATTACTAATCGTGTTGTTTGTCGTTTATCAGGAGACACGCAAACTTAGATAGCTATTAGTCGTCATCACATTCAGAGCAGAGGATAATTGATTTATTTTCTAGTGAAGCACGAGCAGAACCGTTCTTAACATTTCTCATTATTAGTTTCTTTTCCAATATAATATACATAGCATGTTTCATTGTATCTGAACTAACAGGGAGACATAAATGTTTGAATACTAAAATTTCTGGATAATAGAATAACGTTTTTTTACACTAAACTCCATTTATTTAAATAGACCTTACGAAGATTGATATTTTATTGAATACTTGTGGATTTTACACTGTTTAACTGTAGTCACACTTTAGTCAGACTTTAACCATTTTATTCGTGGTGAAACAAATTTTTTACTGGAAACTGTAAGTAATGAATTAATTCCAGTTACTCAAAAAGAGATTTATATAATATTAATATCTATAAAGCTTCACAGTCTTATTGTTACATTGGAAAACATGAAAATTAGAACAATATGTTTCGCACATATTTTCAAATTACTTAAAGTTACATTTTTGATTGAAGGTAATTTAGTTTATGTCGATGTGAATAACTTTAATAAGAAATATATCGTTCATGGGTCTTGTTTTTCTCAATAAGAAATTATTGGAAAAGTCATATCTTAGATTAGGGAACGCAATTAATGAATTTCGTGAGAACGTGAACGATATATATTGTAAATAATACTTTTCCACAGGAAAAGATATATTATATTGTTAAAATAGAAAGATTGATTTCGTTCGTGAAGACGATGTTTATGAACTACGTCTGCTTTTTATTTTTCTGTATAGAAACTCCTCAGAAAGGTCATATCTTCGATGGAAATTTTTACTTATAAGTACTGTCGTTCTATTACTGGCACTCATTGAGCACATCCTAAGTATACTAAAAAATGCCGAGGGCTATGATTGGTGTTCACCACAGAACTCGTCGTTTCGTAACTTTCTGGAAATATACTCTTTACGATCACATGCTTTTATCTTCGACATACGTAAGATTTCATTCATATTAATCCTTAACTACCGATGTTAGTTTTAGGGTAAAAAAAATATTTAGTAACGAAACGTACCTCAAAGAAACTAATGAACAAGTTTGATTAAAATCAACATTGTTGAAATGTATTCGAATAAATCTGTCATCTTTCTGTTCTAATCGGTGAGGAGGATATATTTAAAATAACATAAATAAAATTTACTTCTTTATATATTCTTTTTATTTATATGTTTTTTCTCACCTCGGTAGTTGAGGGTTCAATAACTGTATGGATGTAGTATAGATATAAAAGATACATTGTTATAGTTATTTTCATTTTCCAGTGGACTACAATTTTACATTCGGTGTATACATATTTCTTATCAGTAAAGTGGCAACTTTCACATGGAATTTCACGGATCTCTTCCTTATGCTGGTATTGATTTAATATGTAAATCTAAATATGAGTTGCAATATTGTAGTAAGACTTCAATTGATCTAGATTGAATTTGGTAAAAACAAGATAAAAATTAAAATTAAATTAAAGTTAGAATGAAAGTCCATCCAATAAATAATGCGATATTTGTATACTTATTTTATTCTTAAAAATTAAGATCATTAAGAAATTTAAGATTCTTCACCATCTGCAGATTACTTATCTACGCATTAAAATTAGATGATAAGAAGTTTTGTTTATCTTAATTTTTATAATTAAATAGAAGGAGTATTGAAAATCCGTATTATTTATGGGATGACCCAATATCTGTGTGTGTGGTTTTTAGGTCTCCTCGGGTCTGGCAGAAAGGTATAAAGTTTTGAATAGAAAATTAGCGCTCACAGTAGCAAATAATCGGTCAACTATTGGTTGGCAAGAGCTTCGCGAAGATTACGCTATTTTGAGTTCCATTGTGAAAAAGGTGGACGATCATGTTTCACCGATTATTCTTCTGTCGTTCGCAAATAATCTATATTTCATTTGTCTTCAATTATTAAACGGCCTTTCGTAAGTATATACATTCACTTGACATCGCAACAAATTTTATTAAAACTAATGCACGAATTAACAGCATTTGGAATTAAATTCTTTTAATTTTAACACTGTAATTCGATTTTTACATTATTCCTCATGTTCTCGTGATCAAAGGACTGCAGGCGACAGTTCACTTTTAAACACAATATACTTTTTTGGTTCATTCGTGTTCCTTATCGGACGTACAGCTGCTGTCACTTTATTCTCGGCGAAAATTTACGATGAGAGTAAACGGGCGTTACCCTATTTGTACAACTGTTCAGCGTCCAGTTACGGAATCGAGGTAATTTTTGGAAATACTCATTTCTTCATATACTATTATAGATACGGACATTTGCTAATAATATTATGCAACATTAATTTTAAATTGTCCATCTCATTAATGTCTTGTCTTTCTCAAACTTTTAAATAATTAATAAAATAATGAATAAAATGAAACTAGAATCCCGTAAATCGATTTGAATATGTTGCGTTTTCTTCTAAGATAGTTTCAATAAATAGTTTTGTAAAATAATATTACATAGAAATGTGAATAATGTTTCTAGAAAGATTAGTAAATTCTGTCCATTCGACACAGGCTTAAAAATATTTAAATTTAAAGTCTACAGATTTTAAAACAGATGGAATTATTCCCTTCCTTTGATAATAATATAATAAAAACTTTGTTAATAGGCACAAAGGCTCCAATATCAATTAGCCACGGATGACGTAGCATTAACAGGATTGCGTTTTTTCTCTATTACCAGAAACTTTATGCTTGCGGTAAATCGATAATTTTCCTTTTGTTTTTTAGTATGATCTCATTAAAACTTCACTATCATTACCGTTTCATATCATGGATTTCATATCACGCAATATGTGATAATATTATTAGTTCTTTAATAATCATTAATATTTATATTCATTAATTCTAAAAATCCATAAAATTCTACATTCTACATATCTAATATTCTTTATAATAATATTCATTATTTAACGAATATTTATTTACAGATGGCAGGAGCAATTGTAACGTACGAAATTGTGCTTTTACAGTTTAACGGTGAAAGGAAATGAATTGAACGGTGGGCACTTATGCGAACGATAAGATTAACTATTGTTAGTTACTAGAAGATTTCATCGAAATACATTTTTTAGGATTATAATTAACAAACGAGGGTTGGACACCATCATATTATCTTTTTGTCGAATCACTTACGCGCCACGAGTGCCAAACCAAGCATTATATATATATGGAATGCATCAATCCAGGACAATTTTTGAAATGTTGGCATTTGACACTTAGAAGTTTGAGTATATGGCACACTACGGTATTTTACGAACTTACGTGTTGCGCACATAATATGATAAAGGATCTACACGTTCTGTGTGATTGTTACACTTGAGATCATTTTGACATGTTGGCTACACGTCGCCAAAAATCAGTACCAATTTCAACACCATAGTGTAATGTAACAATTGTATTTCTCTCACCGATTCTCATTATTATTTATTATATAATTTCTCTACTATCCGAACACTGATATAATGATTTTCTGTTATTAGCAAAAAATATTAGAGGAAAGAGATGAACGGTTGGGTGAGTTCGAAATTTGTTGAACATACTTTTTGAAAGTGGTATGAACATTTTGTTGCAAACCGTTATGAATATTGGTTCGGAAGTTTAAAATTGTAATGTCTGACACACACATACACACACACAGCCTGATATAACATCGACTTTAGGCAGCCAATAATCTAGAAGTAAACGATGTTTTAAAGAACTGAACTGACAAGTAAATGAAAAGAATTTTTGTACTTTAAAATGTACATAATAATTCGTAGCTTTTTATTCTTTCCTAATTAATTGTTGATCAAGCCTTTTCTTTCATTTTAGAACAAACAGATTTCAAGTTTAGGTATTAATTTCTGGAATTAAATTGAATTTATTTGCGAAAATTGCGAATATAAGCTACGTTTGTGTATCACATAATGCTCTTTAGATTATTACACGATGAATAATTATAAAAATAATTCGGATGTAACAACTGCAAATAATAAATTGATTCTTTTACACGAATAAGATATATTTTATTATACAATACACTTTCCAGTTAAATGTATATACCCACCTACTACTTTCAAACTCTTGCAAACTCTTCTTATAATTTTTTTGATAATTATGCTTGCTAGGGTTAGTATATTTCTCATAATCTCAGCCAGTAAATATTGTGTTTACTGTAGATGTGCATTTAATGTAAAGCAAATATTCATAACTGCAAATTAGTATTTACCTTTGATCGGCGTGAATTTAATAATATTCACATTTATTCAGTACAATTTACAAGTTTATTTCCCTAGAAAATTCAATAAAATCCGGTATTTCATATTATTAAATTGGCTTGGAATTTTGATGAATACTGCGTTCTAAAAATACTACAATGCGTGGAATATTGAAATGTTTGGATCATGAGGAAAGAATTTTTTAATTAAACATTCATACGCGTACTTTGCGCTGAAATAAGTGAAGTCCATTTTATGAAATGGGAGTATATTGCACATTTATTTAATCAAGTAAAATAATTATGTAAAATTACTTTAATTCAAGTAATTTTGTACAAATGTATTACAGTTTTTAACAGGAATTTATATTAGTGAAACAGTACTGTTTAATGGAAATATTCTAATAATATAATTTGTATCTTTTATCTCATTTGAAGAATAGGTTTTATTCTTTGCTTATACATAACGTTCGTCGGTTTATGAAACAGTAAGTTATCCTGATCTTCGTTTCCTTTGGTTTCCGTGATTCCCTTTTTGTTATTCTCAGTTGATGTATACTTGTAACCAATTCGGGACAAAGACTTGTTTGATATTGTTGATTTTGTTACAGTTGAAGAACTCTGGCCTTAGTGCCTTTGCCTAAGAAAAAGAATCTTTTAGAAAGGTAATTGATATTTAAATGGATTTGAGAAAAAAGTATGCAAACACAAATTGTACTGCTTTACTTGTAATTCGAGCAGCTGTGAAGGAGAGAAAGATTTTTAATGTTTTAAAAAAAGCACACTTCAGCAAAGGATTAAATTTCGTACAATTAACTGGCAACTTTAGTTAATTATAAGAAGATGTGAGAGTCTTTGAAAATCTAAATCAATCAGTGCTACTGCTTAATCCTTTGATTTACGATTTCGCCACGTCGTGACCACTGCTATAATTGTTATGTGGTCGAATACTGCCCGCTTACCACAACGTTGTTTTCTCCAATCTGTGGTTAAATTCTATAAGAAGGTCTTGTACTTACGATATTGCAATATGAGGTTATTTTTTTCCTTTTAAAAATTTACATATCTATGATAATCATGAATTGACCTGAAGTGATTACCATAAATGTTACGAAAATTCATAACCACGCTAAGTCCTTGACATGAATTCTTTGTAAACTGACATAGGAACATACTAATGATATGAGTTAATTTTTATGAAATTTTGGTAGACTGTTTCTTAGAAAATATTTGACATATAATTTTATTATTGGTTATCATTCATATTGACAGTCCTCAATATTGGGGATGAGAAATATATAATATTTAATTGAGTACTTTGAGAATACTGGAAACAGAGAAGTATTAAAGTAGCAAACAAAAAAGCAAATTTTTAAATGAGGAATAATAAGGAATTTAATATTGCGTCATTATTAACGTACGTAGTATTATGTAAAGGGGTTTAAATAATTTTAATGGAGATAAACAATGAAAGTTAAATTATCATCATAACCTGAAAAAGAATAAAAAAATTGTATTATTTGAACTATCATTGCTATAAACTATAAATCTTACATAGTAATTTTTTATTCTTCTGAAAAAAAATTTAATTACTATTATATATAGTAATAAATGATAAATATCCAAAAAATAACAAAATGTAAAAATTTGTAAACCTGATCCCATTTTATCAGAGTAAATTTCCAAAAAGTGCTTTTTTAAATGGTTTCGTAAATTCGTAAAGTTTGATTAAAATCAGGATTATTAGGTTGGATGCTTTTCTTTGTCAATCTTTCTAACATTAATATTTGAAGTGTTCACTGTGCCATGAAAGGAATTGTTCAAATAATTTACATGTGTGTCCTAACAATGTCATCGATACTAATATATTTGACGTCTCGTTTGTACAAGCAAGTTACGTAAACATCTGGTGTATATTTAACTCTACTTTTTTTATACGTATAAAATGTGATAAATAAAATAAGAAAAATGCTTACTTTTTCAATCCCTTCAAATCTGATTTTCATACAGAATTATATGCACTTATCTGATAGCAAAAGACTGCTATTCAATGCTTCACTAATAATAACACCATAGTTTTAATATTTTATTAGACATTGAAAGCAGTAAAACAGTGTACATTATAATGTGCGTCAGATTTGAAGGGGTTAATATCATTAAATGAATTAATTTTCTACTCTATTTTCATACGAATTGCAACTTGAAAAAATTGCATAATTTGTTCAGTTATTTAATGCTAGTTAATACGAACAGTGATAAGCGATATGTCTTTCCAATGAGAAAAATTATTCATAGTTGGTAAAGCATCCAGCCAGAAGAACTATAACAAACGAACAATTGAGTTATTATAACAAATGTGCATCAAATAATATAAAATAAGCCGTATAATCTGATATATCGGATTCCTTAGAAAATTCATTTTTTAAATACAAACAAATATTTTATCCTAGTATTCATTGATAAGGATATGCGATTATCGGTAGAATTTGTTCTGTAAATTTTTCTTTCCAAAATATACATTTTTAAATTTCATTTGTTAATAACACTATCGCCAAATACAGTGTACCGTGATTCAGTTTAATTTACAAAGAAAAATAAATTTTATTTCCTTGATAAAGATCATGATAATTGTTAAAAAGAATTCAAAAAGGAATAATAAAAACGTACGATACATTGTGTAAACTTGATATGTACCAATTTATGAATAATCAGAAATCCAACATTTTAAATTATGTGAGCCAATATATTAAAATATTGTTAATTCATGTTTATGTTATTGAATATCTAAATACACGCTTATATCAATTTCATTCCTTGATTTTAATATGTAGCACTTTACCTTGGGGTCTTGTAAGTTATCTTCACCTGCAAATAATTATTGTAATCATTAATACTATTTTTTACGTGAAGTAACGTTTATTTAAACACTCTTTTTTAGCACTCCGCTACGATTTTTCTACAACTTTTAATTTATTTTTCTCCTAATTATATTGTATGCAATAATAATATTGTTTTATTATAAAATAATATGAGATAGTTGCATATGAACAAATAATGTACATATAGTAGGAAACTTAAAAGTCGACATCTGCGAGGAATGTTCGTTTTTTTATTTTTGTTCTATGAAGAACGTGCAACGTTCTTACACGTGGAAAGTACTGAAATTTTTAAATAATATTTGCAAATGACTAGGCGAAGTCGGATAACTCTTAAACTTATTATAAAGTTTACACATATGTGCATACATACCTATGCGTAATAAAATGTAGGCCCTTTCTTCGACAGTCTCGTCCATTTAAATCCTTCCAATGAAGAAAAGCAAGACAATTAAGTTAGAATAACAATTATAGTTGCAAGTTAATTACATTAACGAGTTAATCAACACAACTACAGGCATACGTAGAAGTTTCAATAGTTACTGTCTTATTTAATCATATATAGCATTATGTACAAAAGTTTTAACCTTTTCACCATCCTATATGAATAAACTCATTAAGTTTCAATAATTGGATTTAATAACTGATTGTTTTAATCATTTTTACACTTACTATTTGATTTTGATAAAAATTACAGCAATAGTAGAGAAGTTTATATAGTACTATATGAAATTTTTTACTACATAAATCCGCAACGAAGTGGAAATAATTTTCAAATCTGAGGATGATATTAGGTGAAATATCATGCTGTTTTTACATGTCTGAAAATCTTATTAGATATATACAATATTTCTGTGCTCAATATTCACTTTATCTGCTTGAAAATAATGTCAATCAGTTAGATAAAACTATTAAATTCTTATGCATAGAACATTTGCACTTTATTCATTAATCTTATTTATTTTTAACTGATAATTTTAACAACTCCAATAGCTCCGAATCTTTACTATTAATTATTTTTACGCTAGCTTTGCTAAATATATATCGGACGAGGTATAATTTTTAGCGCAACGAGAAAGGAAATGTTCATGAACATTAAAACAAGCAGAAGGAGTAGAAGTAGAATATTCTCATTCTGTTTTCGAAGAAATAAATTTGTCAAACTCTTTAAACTTAAAACTTTAATTATCCCGTTATTCAGACGTTGATAATTTTCGAGTAATCTGTAATGGAAGAAACAGTGTTATATCATTATTATTTTTTTAAATTTTGAAAAATATCCTGCTTGATTGTATCGAGACTTCCTCCCGTTTCCTTATACAGGGTGTTCGGCAACAGACGGGACAAGTTTTAAAGGGTGATTCTACCCGAGAAAATAAGTCGAAAATGTCGAATTGTTTTTATGTATACCTTTTTAAGGCAATCAGTTTGTAACGTTTATACCGTAAGCGTTTTATCGAAATAGAAACATACGTGTCACATATACAGTAGGATCCCCTAAAACGCGATTAAAGGATCGTCGAAAAGTAACTGTGAAAGTGAGATTTCTCATAAGAAACTGATTCGAGAAGAGGACCAGTTTAACCCTTTGCACTCGAAAGTTTTTTCGTTAGATGTGTTCATCGGTTTCCAATAAAACTTTAATAGTATTTATTCTGATTAACATAAATATAAACAATACACGAATGCAGGGAAAACTACATTATATGAACTTTGATATTAAATGTAAAATTATTATTTTCCTATATCAAACCAAATGGCAGCTGTGATTCGCCTCTTGGGTGCAAAGGGTTAATGCAAGTTGGACCAGTATCCAAAACAGTAATTTCACACGAAATTCGTAAACGTGCAGCCCTGTAATGTAATATTTGAATCGTGTTATAGGGGCTTCTACTGTATATACAATATGAAATGGTATGGGAAAGTGATCACCTGTGTTTTGCAGCACAAGTCTCGTGGATAGGATAGTGAAAAGGTTAAGAGCCTGAGAACCATTGTACACTTTCAAACAGGTATTAAGCCTACGATTACAAGCCCGTATATTACAGTCAAGGTAGATAGCAGTTTCTATTTACATGGTAGTATCGCCGATAGTATATAACAGTTCTAAGAAAATAGTATAATATTCAACATGGACTACAAGATTAACTTTAAGACTGACAAGATGAGTCCAATACTAGGAATTATCTACTTTCAATATACATGTTACAAATATTTACGAATATTTACAAATATCACATATTTACAAATATTTACAAACATTTCGTGTAATTAAGAAAAATCATTTAGTCCAAGCATTCTAGTTTGAAGAAAAGCGAGTAGATACATGGAACGTAATGAAATACGCAAGGAACAAATTCGCGTTTAACTTTTTTTTCGTTGGAATGACCCCACACGTTCAGAAGGAAAAATTTGGGTAGAGTTAATTTTTTCAGGCTTCCGATGTTGCATCCCCCTTTAAGTCGGTACACTGTTTCACTTCAATATCTGACAAAATATTCAAACGGTAACAGGCAGCCATTTATACATCTTTGCTTGAGATACCACCACTATTTCATTCGAAATAATGTCGTTACTGATGGTGCATTGAATTACGGGCCATTGTTGTTGAATACATGGATATAATTTCGTATGAAAATTAGGTTTGAACGGTTAAATCAAATGTATGGATATTCACCAGCAAATGTACAGCCCCGCGTACATGTCTCAAGTTCAACGTTAATTATTAATAATCTAAAAACGACACTGAAATTAAAATTGTGCTACCCGTGACCATTGCTTGTTTTCTCTCGCAGAATCACCCCTTTAAATTTATCTCTTTTATTGTCGAACATCTTGTATGTAGGAATCGATGACGGATTATGTAGCTGCGAGGAAGTCTTTAATAGTGAGCAGATGTCATCACAATACCCTCGTGTCAATGATGTATGATGTCAGGATGAGCGTTTTCTTTTCGTGAAGAAGTGACGATGCTGATTCTTGAATTAGAGGGAAGCAGTAGTAGATTATGTTCACTCGGTTGACAACTTCAGGTAACTTCATTTTTTCACATGTACTTTGTATTTTAGTCATCAATAAAGAAATATTGTAGATTTCTGTATACTGACCACGAATTTCACGCCAGATTTACGGATGGTTATTGCATAGTTCATTTTATTGTTCTTAGAAAAATTGATGTTCGTTCATTTAGATCTTGGAAATTAGAGATTTAAAAATAGACAATCAGGATACATACTCATGTAGCAATTGCATCGATCAAATTTACTATGAAAACATTTATCAAATAATATTTATAAAATTCAACATGCGTCGAATTGACGCGGTTCTTAAATCAAGATAATGTTAAAATTCCGTTTTTCTCGATCACCCTCGTTTCTTGAGACACTAAACTTTGAAGAAAATGTTCAATTTTCAAACTAATTTATATGGTAACTATGAGAAATGTTTATTATAAAAAAATGATTGTTGTGGAATTTAAACATGATTAAACAATGTTTAAAGCGAACAAGGGCTTATCAGAATATCTTTTAATTTATTTTGAGAAGTAAGACAAGATTTAAATATGAAGAATTTTTTATGAAGAAGAACAAATGAAATATTTTCAATACAAAGCAACCGTTTCACACACGCAGTTGTATTAGCACTTATTGTTATATCCATCACTCACAGATTATATAAAAAACTAACTTTCCGAAGCAAGATAAAAGCGACAAATACTTATCAAAGTTAAAAATTTAATTTCTTGTCAACAATTAAATCCTTAAAAAGAACTAAAAGAATGAAGGAGAAAAACGGGTTTCGGATTCATGTTCACTACGCAAAAATCTACAGGCATGTATTGAATGTTTCGAATAGGAAACTTGAAACCGAACGATGTTACGAAGGATTCTTTGTCGTAACTCATATTTCGAGTACACGTTGCTCAAGTCGAAAATTGCAGATTCAGTTGTGTTATAATAGCATGCCCATTAGAAGAGTAATGAGTTTCGCTGCGTCTTCATAAGTTTCTACGCTTATCCTGCGATACTATTTTTCTAACTGCCATCGAGCATGTACTACAGCGGTTAATGGTCATCTGAAGACAGAGATTATACGTAGTCTCGATGGTTACCGATGTCCATCCATCTTTTCTGGTAGACGACGTCCTTGGGTTGTAGTTGTTACAATCAGGGTCATCAATTATTGTCGCTGGAAAGATGTGCCTAAGGTAGCGCAAAGAGAGGGGTGAGGCGAAACGGGATCGAATCGTCTTGGTCCTGCTAGTAAGATCATCAATAAGGTTGCTTAACCTGTCTTAGACGAGGAAATATTCCATAATTGATCGAACAAGTGAATCAATACATTGTCCACGTTTAAGCAAGAATGGAAAAGATCCATGTATACATTTCCATATGCAACATTTTTATTATATCCCCATTCTAGATATAAGACATTGACTACTACGATGGTCACCAACTTTTTCCAACTTACAAGAAAATAATTACAATTTGTAAAATAGCTGATGTCAAATAAAACTGTTCAATAGCGTAAATAACTGCATGATAATGTAACATAAGAATTGTAATGCCAGGTAATTAGTAATTCTTTCCTTTGATTTTTACTAGAGAAAAAATAAGTAATACGTGAAACGCTGATGTTTTACGTGGTAGAGAACGTGTTAATGCAATGAATCCATTAATAAAATTACGTTCACGTGTTCTAATACATTCTACGTATCTGTCAGAAGTCTGGCTACTGTCCAGCGGCACAATGAGATTGCGGGAATAGAAATGAAACGCTAAAAGCGACGTCAAAGCGCGAAATTATGAGGGGAACGCTGTAGAAAGCGAAGGTATGTATATACAATACGCGTGTTTCTCATCTTCCATTACTTAATTCTATTCATCAAATGAATAGAATGTCATCTGTGTAACCTTATGATGCACCCACGACGACCACATACTTAAGTACTCGTAGGTGATTTTGATTTTGATTTTGATTGTAACTGAAATTGAGCGCAGTCAAGTGTGATTATGGAAGAGTAAAGCGGACGAAGGTAACACGAGTAAGCGAGATACAGTACTACACGAATACGGTCGCGTGACACTCGCAATATGAAAGCACGTTATTAGTACTGTAAGGTATATACACTATCACTTAGAAGTGTTTGATTAGTTGCAATACGGCGAACATTGGATAATTGAAGCGCTCAAGGGAACCGGAAGGTTGCAATTGTTGAAGGACAGAATCGCAGATTTTAGCATCGCGGATGTAGAAAAGGACAAAGCGAGTGAAGGAAAAGGAAAAACTGAAATTCGAAGCGTTCAGCAAGATTAATCCCTTGAAGGTTTCCAACAGGATTTAACAAATATAAATATTACTCAATTTCTGTGAATTCAAAGTAACTAGTATTATTCTGTTACCGATTATTATAGTTCAGAGTAAACATAGTGATAGAATATGCCAAGAATTTTTGTTTTTTCTTCAATAAATTAGTAATAACAAAGTAGGTGTATCGATCATAATTGAGAAATAAATCGTGGGGCAAGGAGTTAAAAGCTGGCAATGAGCTTGAGACCTTTAACACAAGAATTAAACTTTTTTATTTTAGACTTTTGATCAATGAGACTTCCACTATCATGTTTGTTGTGTTTTTCATGATTTTTTTTTATGATTGAAATTTCGGATATAGAAAAGGACTGCGAATAGAAAAGAAAGAGGCGAGTTGAAATCGTCGAGTTCAACAATAGTCTCATCGTGTTACACCCTTTAACCGCGGTCAGTTGTCGAGCGCTACGGTGTGTTGGAAGGAACCTAGCGAGGATGTGGCGAGGATGAGCATGTTGCAATTATCCAATGTTCACTGTATATACTCACTATTCGGACGAAGAGAGCAAAATGAAAAATAAACGATACAAATTTACCGTTCCTCTTCGGTTACATGAATTAATTGTACCTTGTAGTATGTAACAGGTAATCTACGTAGACATGTATTTGTACATGCATTATCTACATTCGCATGCGAACTGTGAATATACAAGTTGATTCTTCTATTTTTAGTACACATTTTATATTTTCATCGATCAGCGACTCTTCAAATAATTATGTTGGGCATGCGGAACTGTAAAGCAGTGCTGCTTAATGTGTCTATGAATCAATCGCTAATGTAGTCGAAAATTATCGTTACTTTTTATCGGTGACAAGTAGATAAAAATTTAAAAGGTGATTGTCTATAATAATATGAAATGGTCAATTTTGTCAAGTTATTAATTCTTTTGATTAGCATGAGGATTTTTAATTTTTACTTTTTAATTTTTAATAACTTGAAAGAAAGACTGAGACAAAAATTTTGCACTGTTGATTTTCCTTTTATATTTGGAGAAGCACATTTTACATTTTCTTCTACTTGTCTAATACTCTACACTCCGTTGACGAAGTTAAATGCATATTCGAGACTACACTTTTTAAATAAGTAAATTACATTTTCATCACATCATTAAAACCTCATTGGTCAGCCTGAAGATTTTAATGATGTTCATTGTTTTTATTGTACTGTTTGCAAAAAAACGAGTGATTTAATACATATTAAAAAATTACTAATAAAGGGTGACAATTGTCTCAGCACAGAAGTAATAATTTTATATAAAAATAATTTATATCTAAGCAAATTTTGAAAATTCTTGTTTATCGTAAACTCATGTTACAATATCATTAAAAATGAATATATTGTACAACTCCCGATAATAAAGAGATATTATTTTAATTATATCCTTATATATATAATATCGAATTATTATTAAACATTACCAAAAATTATTATTAAATATTATCAAAAATAAAGGTAATAAGGGTACATATAATCGAATTATAAATGGTGTATACTTAAATAACCACTGGAGACTTGATGTTTATTGAAACATGATGTAGAATAAAATCGTTCATACATCACGTAGATTCAAATTGCTCTAAAATTTCAATTTAAACAGATTTCATCGAAGTATAATGATAATTTTCGGTACAATTATAATTCTTTACTTATTTGAATGGTTTCGTGTTTCCACATACTTTTTATTACAATTTAAAACAAATACTGAACTTCATGTTCACGATGTTTTCTGATTACGTGCAACATTTTCTCCATTGTTGTATGCACTTTGGAGTTATATGGGCATTAGCATCGAATAACAGTTAGCATTAACAATAACAATCACAATAAGAATGGAATGAAGAGCCAGTTATGTAACTGATTGCGGTCGTATTTTTTGTAAGCATGATAATGATACTGGTCAGAATTATTTTTTCGACCGTGTATTCAGTCAACTTTATTGTCCAATAAATAAGGCAATATATAAAATAACATAAGCAGTATCATATTTCAATGACTAAATGATTGTAGTATGCTTTTGCCGAGCATATCTCTGGGTGCAACCGCAAAGAGTTAAGAAACTCCAAGGCGATCGCATAGCTCATACAATATTGTATATACAGCAACTTATGTATCATCGATAGACAGTGGATCTTATACATTTATGACCAACACGAATGCATAGAATATAAAGTAGACAAATGTTTGTAAGGATTTAAGAATATCATTACTTTATTCTCAACCTATTATGATTCTTAACACTTCACCTCAAGAAAAACAAAATAGGAGATTTTGTAAAATTTATAAAAGAAGCACACTTACTGAAGAAAATAGGAGAACAGAAACGATGGTTGCTAATAACCATAGAAGTTCAGGCGACATGGTTTAAAAAGTATAACATAATTTATACAATGTTAATTTACTCGATAGGTACTGGCTTCAAAAAATGTCATCGAAGCGTTGGCATTGAGAATCCGATTTTTCGGATGCCGGTAGGTACAGTGTTAAGAGAAGAAATAATTTTTTATCTGATCTCTGCTCCTTTTCATCGCTTTGAAAATGTTCGTCTTCGAAAATTTTCGTTTTGCATGCAGATCCGCTGTCTAATCATTAGGCACGTGTTATGTATCATCTAGGTATGCGCCATCTCATGTATGCATATACGAAAGCAAATAAAAAATTTAGGCGGACTAGATAAATCGGAATCTTCTAGAAAACGTGCTTACTTCACGTCACAAATGTGTGTGACGTTCGCTGAATCGTTTTGCTGAGTGTAATTGAACTGGACGAGAACTAATTCGTAGGTGACTATAGTACCTGCAACCTGAAACGTGTAATCAGTGAACGATTCGAAGTTGCATTTTGTAAAGAGCAAAACGCATGTTTATAATGAATTCTATAGTGTTATAGTATTTTAGTAATTCTATAGTATAGTTGGAAGAGAAGAGAGAAAGTTCATGTTCATATATTTAACCCTTAACACGTTGAATACCGTGGAGGTCACCAGTGACCCCAAATTAAATCGAATTACTATAGTTCACTCAATCAAACGATGATTATTTGAAAACATATCTATGTTATAAATAATGCTACCTGCGAATGATTTAATATTATATTTTACCCATTTTGTGTATTTTGCTCTGTGAAATCGTGCGGCATTCAACGAGTTAATATGCAAAGTTCAAACGGTCGACGTTCCTTGCCAACTGGATTCTTTACTATCATCCATCCCTTGCGTCAATGTGACATATTTTTTAGGTGAAAAATGACGTTCTTTTGTCATTTGTCAAAAGATTGACCAGAGATTTTGTGACTTGAATATTGTTGAAACAAATTAAATAGAAAAAACGAAAAATCTAAGCGAAGTCCATTATTAAAATTGAAAGGTGAAATAATAATTTTTAAATAATTCTATCAATTATTGTTTACCTTCGTTTTATAGTATTTTTGTGCTTTTTATGTTGTCATTGAAGTTTTTGGAAATACTATAATAAATCTTGAGTTTTATTTGTTCAAAATATTTACTTATTTGTTGTTTCCACACTAGAAAATTAAGTGAATTCATTTTGTATGTTAAGGGTTAAATATCCTGATCCTTGCGATAGACGAATATAGTGTGTACATATGAGCTAATAATTTTATCGTGATTAAGATACGTACTGTCAATACAAGGCCTCTAGTCACGGAAAAGAATTTCATGCCTGTCAAGCAAATACTGTCCGTCGTTACTTGCCATAAAAATCTCATCACCTGTTAAAATAGAAGAATTTCATTATTTTCATTCTTGCAGAAGTATTTGATACAACACTTTTGTCATACCTTTGACAACGCAAACTTTGTTATCAAATCATAATATATCAAAACTTAAATATATCAATGTATTTTAAAATATTATTTATCGGAAGTATAACTTTTCTTATTTTAATGTTTTTGCATTAGAACACAATATATAATTATATTTCATAAAAAGATTAAATTCATAATATTTCCTAAAAAGTATCTATTTAATTATATTATATTATAAACAACGTAATTTGAGAATGAATGTATAAATAAATATTTATGGTTTAAATTATATCGCCTAAACTATTGTTAGTTTAAACGTATGATTGCTTAATTCGAAACTTTCTTCTAAATTTAATGTTATATATTTAAATTGAGACAATAATTTTTCATTAGAAATTGAAACAGGACGAAAATACGAGAATCATACTTCTGTAGAATAACTGCTTCCAGAAACGCTGTACAAAATTGGAGCAGGAAGCAAGGATTCATCGTGAATCGACGCCGCGTACAAAGACACCAACGTTGTCCTCGCCAATAGGAAGCCAAAGGAAAAACCGAAGTAAAGTTTCTCAATGATGTCTCGCATTGGGCTATGTTAAAATTGTCAATGTTAAATTAAGTTTGTCACTTTTTATGTAAAAAAGAACACTGAAAAATAACAGAGTATCACAATTGAACATTTAAAAATGGGAAGCGACTGAAACAGACGAAAACAATAAATAAAAATTGTAGAGCCATTTCGATATGATCAAGCACATTCACTTATACGTTAGCGATGAGTAGCGCTTCAAATATATATTCTACAAATTAATTCGTCCATCGGCGTGTTTATTAATTCTCTATTATTTTGTTAACATTAAAATTACGACGAATTCAACATAATTAATTCGTAAGCCTTATAAAAATTGTAACAATAGATTTTATTAAATTTCTTCATATATTCATCGTAGTATTCAAGCGAAACTATTTTTCAAATCATTTTGTATATTTAACACTTTTAGGCCATCAATAATTGCGAAATAAGAAACTTGAAACTCGTCATTTTGACGGTACGGCAGTTCTAGCGTTAAGGAACAGAGACGTATAATAAAGTAATTGGAGTGGTGACAACCTTTTAAACCACAATATACGCTGAGAAAGGGTCAAAGGTACAGGATTCTGTACAGACGGTATAAAAAGTGATTACAAAATAATGTAAATAAGCCGTTCCGAGTAAAGCGGTTTCGTATGCTGCACAATTAACATTATTCATCGATATGCATACTTGAAAGAGAAGAGAAGTTGTATACAGATGAAGTAAAGGTCGGTGGCAAAGGAGAGAAGAACCATAATGGAGATATGAGAGTCTAATTGCCTCGTCAAGCTTGCCAAGTGATTGTAGTCAGATCTTGCTTCGGCCCACCACCATTCTGGCATCGCCTTAACAATGAAATGATACTAACGACCAAGATTCGTCATTAGAAATGATAACATGATCTTCTTTCGCTAGACATATTGGAATAATTGCACAGTAAAACTGGGAGAGATTGTTAAAATGATTTCTATCTTTTTTTTTATTTCAAGTGATGCATTTGCACGAAATTAATCGTTACATTTACAACAATATTCAGTATGACTCTCTGGATTATTTTTCAATTCAATTTATAAAAATCATTCAATGAATAATACTTCGTACGAGAGTACTGCATTAATTATCATTGGAAGTATGAAATTATTAAAATTTATATATGTATTCTAACGAACAACATACCTTGCCTTTTATCGAGTATAAACGATCGTTTAGTTGACGAAACTGCTCCACCAAAGCAATACTGATTAAAATAAGAAACAAGTCGACGAAGTTCCAAGAGAAAGTGCTCACAATGTTGATAATATCCACCAGAATTCCTTTCCACAAGCTGTACGAAATTATAGCGAATACCTAATCGAAAACATATGCGCGTGTAATATTAACAATGTTTCTTCTTAATCGCTAAAAAAGCGTATATGCTTTTCGAATAACTAGAAGATGGAGTTTTCACCTGTGGAAATTGGGACTGGAAATAAACCCCAACAACGTCTGAATCACCTTTATAATTCGCGCATTCTCGGGCTCTTATAGAGCCACGGAGAATAGACAAGCCATGTTCCACTGGAAGTAATATATTAAATATGTTTATTATAAAATAATATTTAATTTGAATAAACATAAACGTTTTGCAATGTCTTGCGTTCTCACTCAAATTTGCTAAAAATGTTTAATCTCAGTTCAGAAGCATTACTTCTAAACTCGGGTGGTATATAGTGTAGATACAGTAAAACGTTGCAATACTTAAAAAACACAGTTAAATTAAAAAGCTGCACAAAAAGATTTGAAATCGATTATTAGGCAGCTTGCAACAAAAAGAAAGTTCTTCAAACATTATCACAATATGTAATAAAATATTTAATAAATATTCTTCTATAATTTTATTCTGGCAACTTCAGTGATCTGCATTTCTTCCTTACAGTTTCTTTATTTTATAATATATCATATAAGTTTAAGCTTTAGTATAGTCACTTTAGACGGTATTCTATAGACAGGGTATACGAAATGCTTGACTTGTTCTCCTAATTATTCAAAATACATATATAAGTAAAATGTCCTCATCATTTTGTTCTGTATTATGATCTGTTCAAATAATTTGTTATGCGATACTGAAAAATATTTTTCTTTGCGTACGTGATAAAAAGGTGGTAAACAATAGGCAAGAATAGAGTAGTAGGCCAAGTATCCCAGTGTTGGATTGTTACTTTCCTACAAACGTTCTATTTGCGTGGAATACAAAATAGCCTCAAGCAAATTAAGCTTCGTTCGTACACAGGAACCACTCTTATTAACATTTTCTTTTCTGGAGGCCTATTAATAGACTTCACAATGACTGTACTATATCAAAAAGGAATTTTTTTCTTTTACAATAATTAAGGAAGAAACCATTAGATTGTGTTAAACGAGATGATTAATTCAAACGTTATTACAAATGCTATCGAAAACTTTCTTACAAAATCTTTAACTGGTAATTACTAATCTTTAAAAGAACAAAATATAACAAAATCGTCGGTAGATGAAATGTTAACGAATTACAGATCTTTATAATATATAAAAATCTCCAGAAACTAGTAAAGTATAAACCTTATTAAAATTTAAGGCAGTTTATTTTTTAAACACTAAAATTAATATTAATGGAAATAAAATTTAGGTTACTATTTGTTTTCTTAATTTATTCTACAAAAATGAGAATTTCCATAAAGCTTTACAACCTACTTATTTTTTCAGTGTGTATAGAATTGATTTGAAAAAAACAGAAAACAATTGATTAAAAAACATTGATTCTAATTATAAAAATAATTATTGTAATTACATTATAAATTATATCAGAATTTGTATTATAAATATAAATGTATTCACTTAGATATATTGTTTGCAATATGTTTGCAAATGCTAAAATAACGCAATTAAAATCCAATTTTCAAGCTTGCTAATTTCATGTAGAGACTTTATTTAGGCAGTGCTACTTTCATGCGGTACGGTCAGCCAACCGTGCGACCCAAGAGGATGACCCAGATATTTGCACTGAGAAGGGTGGCTGCAATTAACAGTTCAGTTCTTTGTTATTAAGTGCTGACAGATTTTCATGGTCAAGTAGCCTGCAAAGGAGACTCGAGGGAATCCAGCTGTACTTCTTTAGACTTTCTAATCCTGGTCTTTGATGTCAAATTTGCAATACAAAACCTTGTTTGCACGTCTTGAATTCCAATAGTACTTTTCAATGTTTTCCATCGTTTCGTTTTCAATCGTTTTGAAGATGAAAATGAACTAATTCATTTTATTTTTGTGGTAAATACTTACATCTCGTATTTTTTTAAAGAAATTCGATAGAAGCGTAAGGCTTACTTAACCCTAATCGGATCACGATGTGACTTTGAGTCACATTTGAATTTTTTACTTAAATTTTTTGCTTATTTCATATTGCGTTTCCAAAAGTTTTTTTGGGTTTTTAAAATTTGGTCCCTATAAACAAAAACAATAACATTTTAATCATTCCTTTTATTCTCATAAGTGACTGAAAGTCACATCGTGGTATGATTTGTTATAAAAACACGTGGTACGATTAGGGTTAAACTTCTAATTTTTCTAGATTGTATTATTCACTGATTTCACTAAAATATCTCATAACTTGTCTAACGAGCAACTCGTTTGATGTGCAATAATTTACGTGTCACTGTTATAATATAAATAATTTAATTCTAAAGTATACTTTTTTAATTGGATACGTTTAGTTAACGTCATTAGAAAAAAAAGTATCTTCACTGCTGCGAAAATTGTAAGGCAAATAATAAAAGTTAAATTTGCCACTTAAAGTGGCAAGAATGTTATTAACACAGTATCAATCGCATTCTTCGTATTTTGCAAATATGAATGATTATAAATATCTATAGCATTTGAAAAAATAAATACGTTTAACTTCATTACTTTGATATTTTATATTTAAAGCAGAAATCACGGTTTATGTAGACAGTTTATTCTTTTGGCGATACGAAAAACGTTTATCTATAATATAAATTAGTATAAAAATATAAATACCACTCACCCAAAGCAATTATCATCACCACTATAGTGATAATCTTGAATTTGGCGGATAAACTTCTTTTAGATACTTTCCTATGTCTGTTGGAAAACTCTTTTTCAAGTTTTTCCCACGTTAGCATCAAAGACGGCCATTTCATTGCCAATTTTAAGAAAAGCAAGGTTGCTATAAAATTCGTCCCATTAAATACAAAGGCGGCTATTTTACATATAAAAAATAATCTGTTAATTGAATAACACAATACATTATGCGATCGAATGTTGTACAAGTACGATTGAACTCTTATTAATCGTTCAAGGTAGTTTAATTTATTATTTTAAAAATATTATCCGTTCTAAGTAGAAATGTAATGTAAGGTTATTAAAAAATAAAAAATTCCATGTTTTCTGATGAATATATTAAAATTTGTGTAGCTGCTGATCAAAGATATTCGTAACTAGCCTTTTTTATGAAAAAGTGTCGTTTGGACGGATGAAACAAAAATTAATAGAATTAATTACAAAATCGTAAATTCTGCCACTAAGTAACACAGACGATTATTTATTATTTTTAAATGAGGATCAACCTAGAAGAAAGCATTTTATTGAAATGAAAATTGATTGATTGATGAAAATTGTACTTTAATAAATTTTCCATTGCATTCAAAGTATTTGAATATACAAAATCCAACAAATCTTACAAGAACAATACATGGTTCATTTCCATGAAACGTGCGCTATATGAAATATTTAGTAAAGTAAAATAAAAACAAAAAACTGAATTGATACGATTAATCAAGAGTTCATCGTAATAAATTAATTATATTTCAAATGTCTTACTCATTTTCAAAGAATTTACTCCTGTTGCTATTAGCCTCAAAATGTTAAAAATTGTCATCATGGACGATGCAAGAAATGAAATTACACAGTATATGATTTTGGGGCTGCGCCAGGTAAATCTGATCAGAAGAATGAATAAATTAACAGTAATGTAAGAAAGAGTTTTCTTTCTCTTTCTCTTTCTTTAAAGTAACTGTAAGTAATTACAACAGAATACGTCAAATATTTTAACGCTTTGCACTCGGGCGACTTTTAGGCTCCATTCGATTCAACACGGAAAAATGATAAAATTAACAATTCAATATTTAATTTTGTATGAGGTGTCAACATATGAGGGACAGAAATAAAATAGTTATGTTACTTAATCTACGCAAAACTTTATCTTACGACACTTGCACGTTATATTATGAATATTTCATTTGAAAATAATAAATATTTAAAATGAACAATATTATCGAGTGCAAGTATTATTTATAGTAAAAAGTAAAATGATTTTACATTAATAGACCAAGATCTATAGCTCCCTAAATTGTATTCCTCATTTGAGAGGACAGATTACCTGAGATATGATGCATCTGGAGAATTAACGCCTGATACAGGGAACATTGAAAAACATTGAGCCAACATAATGACTGGTTTCATAGACGCGTGCAAACTGTCAGTTTGTGGATTAAAACTGCTGGCAGAGTTAATCGCAGGTCCCGACACTAAAAATTATATTAACTAGTTACAATGATGTATGAAAAGAAGTCGGGGTAAAAATTTGTCAAAAAACGTATGAGAATTTTGAGTTGAGTAAATATTGAAGTTTCTAACATGAAAATCTTAAAGGTCGAGGCAAAAATGAGAATTTGGTCTATAAAAAACCAAATCCTAACTTAATTTCATTAATCACATTGTTTTCATCATAGTTTTCATAATTTATACCGATCTGAAAGCTAAATATTAATTATTGATGGAGGTTTATACGATTTTTCGGTCAAAAGTAAATTTAAATGAAATTTCGTTTAATTTTTCACAAAAAATATTGTAACAACAATATTTTAAGCAGACGTTAGGTGTCATTTTTCATTTGATACGATATTGTATTATCTGTAATAGATACATTCGAATAAATGGAATAGATTAATCTACATCTCGATAACTCAATTTGTTAACGCGCATTTTTTTATTCGTATAAATGGAAAAAGGTAACATAAATCATTAAATTTTTATAGCTTCTGAGTTAGATGTGAGGTTTCTATTAGATCAACCAAAAAGTCATGTCATGATCAACCAAATAGTTGAAATTTGTCGAACAACATGGACAACGTATAATTGAACGAAATCTAATATAATGGTGTGAAATTTGTCTTTAAAACTTCTTAAAAGGACACAATACTTTTTGGTCAGCCACTAGTTGAATCCTAGAATTATCAAAGAAGAGTACTCCAGTTGTTATACTTTCATAAGAAAAAAACTGACAAACAGCTTGACCGATTACAATAAAAGAAGCTTACAAAAATGTGTTTTACCACTTACTTTCGGCAGCTATCAAATTTGACTTGAGATTGTCGAGTGTGCGAAACGCCGGGCTGTCCTTGGACGATCTGAAAATTTCATTCACGACTTGGTACGCGGTAAACTTCGTCTCGTAGAAATTATGTTGTAGCAGCACATCGTAATTAACTGAATCTAATATGTAATATAAATGTTAGTACAGGCTGTTGCACATTATAGCACTCGCGTCGTTCAGTTTATTCGGTATTAGAAATTGCGTTATGCGAATTACTGCGGTTATGATTATTACACGATAAATTTTCGAACGCATTGATCTGTGAACCTTGTTCGTGGCGCTTTACGACCGATGGTATGCACGACGCAGGATCGCATGGCGAACAGAAGATAAACTCGTTATTTCAGAGTTTTATCGTACGTTAGGGGTAAAGAGTGGAGGGTGCGTTACACACAGCGGAAGCTCAATAAACGTCTGCTTGTACAATCATTGGAAACGTTGCCACTATCGTACCTCGTGCAGGGGAGTAACATTCCACAATGGAAAATGATTTCTTTTCACCAAGCAAGTATAGATCTTCCTTCGAGTTGTTTGAATTTTATTGACCTCTTGCCACACAATCACGTGTGAGACTCGTGATGAAGATTTTATAGATTAACCTTCTATTGCATGAATTTTTATGAGGAGTTAGATGAAAATGTACGGTCGTTATTCTATTTAAATGTTGGTATAGTAATAAAATAAATAAGAAAATATTAATAAACAATGTTATTTATTGTATTCTTTTACTGTTCCTATACGTTGCATTATTTAGCAAGTTTCAATTTCTTCTTAAATTTTTGACTACTGGTTGGTGCTATTTACAAATTTTTGTGCGCCAAGCATAAACTGTAAATTTTTTCGTCGGTGTAGTTTTTAAAGAAAGAAATTTAAGAAAATATGCACATTCTCATCCGCAAACATGTTTTATATTTCAATAATAATAGTTATACAATTATTTTCGTTATAAAGTGTAATGCGTTGAAGAAATATTAAAGAGCTTTAGAATAATTAAGAAAACAATGAGACAGATAAAAATGTAATTTCGAATAGTCCAAAACTGAATTCCTATGTTAAAATTTAAGTTTTGTTTTGTCTTGTAGATATTCAAATTCACGAAATTGCTGCAAAAGAATGTAGATAATAAATACGTGGACGGAGTTACCGTTTAAACATACATATATACAGAGAACTATAAAATTATTCAGCATATTATTGAAACTTGAAGAATTCTTAGAATTCTTCATGAGGTGACGTCGTTACAAGTGGCGTAGAAGCCAAACGTCAAGTACTTCATGCCATTAACGAAGCATCAGAAAATTATGCGTCGGCTCACTAAACAAATTGCGAGGCAGTAAGAAATAATGGTAGACGACTGCGTCTGAGAGGGGTTGTACATCGGACAAGATAGCTCCGAAGGTCTATAATAATTCTGTTGTGACTAACTGTCATAAAACATTGATAGCATTGTCCAGTGGACGGAAGATCATCAATTTCCATTCAAAGAATAATTTGCTACCACACTGTATTAATAGGTACAGTTCACATTTTGTAACTGATCAGGAAAAAGATGTTAGAAAAAGATAATACGTCATTAACTCAAATTGAAAATCAAATTAATACAATAATAAAGTCTAATATATGAAGCATAAAGTAACAAGAACACGAAATTTAATGAGAGAAAGCTGTTCAATTCGGAGATAATGAAAGAGATAAAAAAGATTTTTCCTCAAGTTTGTACTACAAAACGACAAATAGATTGACGTATATGCTGACCTTCGGGTAACCTCTACGTGACCTCCACAATAACGATAATGTTATTGTTACAACTAAAATGCTGTTTAGCACGCATGTTAGTCTTTAACGTTTGACTACCGATTCAGAAAAATTAATCCCCAGAGATCATCTGATAATTAACAAGTTCTGTGTGGATGAACGTGTTCTTTTATCAGCTAAAATATTACAGTAATGAAATTATACCATTCTGTTGTAATTAATATTCTGTGGTAAAGAATGCATAAAGAAATTTACTTAATCGCCATTTGTTGCCTCGCAATCGCTAACAGGCGAATTTTCTCGTTCTTTCGTTTTTGTTAGTCATCCTGTGCAGATGCAAAAGTGGAATAGAAGTGTCAAATTTATATTTTGTGTGAAATCGAAGAGATAAAATTATATAAAATCCTACATCAAAAATACAACAGAAAATACGGATGACATCCTGATGTTTCTGAAGATATGATTGTGAGCACAAAATTTTCTTTATCATATGATTTATTCTTTTAAGTCATCGAAAATATTTTTCCATAGAAGTTTTATTGTATTTTAAACTGTGACATAATGTATTTTGCTAATTTTAGGGTGTTTCGTCCTATACATTAATTACATTTGTAATAAACAATTATCAATAGAAATTGTACATGTACATATATAAGTTTCAATGTAAAGATTTTCATACGAAATATCCCGTGACACGTGAAAAATTATTTAAGAATCGCATAAAGATATCAAAGATATAAGAAAAGATTTACTATATAAAGGTATGTTGTTTAAATTTGTTTTTAATTAATAGCATATTTATAAGTGCAATAATTTAATATTTGTTATAATTACTGCACCTTCGTGATAAGTATTTCGCAGTTTTTGTAAATATTTTCAGATTGATTCTTAACTGTTTTAATTTGTTCTAACTTGTTTTACATATAAGAAGTTTTATTCATCATTTGAAGCTTTCTTTTTAATAGAACATTTCTATTAACGTTTTGCCCTTATTGCAAGTGTCTTAATTAGAGGTCTAATTGCCAGCCGCACTGTTATAGGTGTGCATTCAGAAATATATTCTAGATAATAAATAAAATGGTAACAGAAAATCATACGTGATATCATACATTTACACTCATTACATAATGAATAAAATGTCATAGGAAAAATAGAAAACAAATTCTGAATGTAGAGACTTCGCAATTTAGAATAAGCTCTGTCTGACTGATAGAGATTATGATTGTGATTTCTGTCATAAAGTTGTATTTAAATTACGGATTTTTATCTATATATAAGTTTGCAATGCTTTTTATATTGTTCATTAAGAAAAACCATTTTCTACTGTAATTCTGTTTTCCTAATTACATTCTTGTTTGAATTTGCATAAAAATCCGTACTCTAAATATAACATTTTAAACATGGCCAATTTTTCAAGGAAAATTTCGTGATTTTCTAATTTTGCTCGGTAATGTGAAGACTGAGATTTAATGTTTGTGGGCAACATAACACTGAAAACGTTAAAGAGTGTGCGACGTATTTGGAGGAGGAGGGAAGGTAGGGCAGAGGTCAAGAGATCCAAACGACACCTTCATTATCTTGACATAAATCAGTCTTCAGAGATCCTTGTGACGTGCCTAAGAAGCTGGACATTTTCGAATAAACCTGACACTACTGCACTCTTTGGTATTATGGTTTTCTTATTATTATTTATAGTATAAATTAATCACTGTATCAACTGTATTTAGTTAACAACTAAAACGTAAGCTATAAAAACACAAGGCCAAATTATTGGACACTTCACTTTCCTATTAACCTTTTTGAACCTAAATTTTGTTTCGTCTGATTGAAAACACTTCACTGTCATAAAAAATGAATATTATATAATAGATCAAATAGAAGAGCATAATAGTAAATTCGTTTGTCTACCCATAATATGAATATTTATTTTTTAAATCCAACTTAAAGTTAAGTACTATAGAAAATTATTTCATGGACTCATCAGGTGTTCCCTACCACGGAAATCTTTAATAAAAAATGATTTGAAGGGAACCAGAGTACAATTTCCGCTAACCCAGAAGGCTCTCGAAGGTACTTCAATCTTTACGATGATGACGATAATTACGATTCCATGACAGATATGAAAAGGTAGCTTTCATGTACTAAACCTACCCTCATTAATGACAAGATTGCAAAAGGAATGTCAACAATCAATGACATAATATGTAGCAATCATTTTAGACAGTCGTAGGAGCTTCCTAAAATTTAGGAATTTGCATACGTTAAAGATGTCATGTACAAAATAATTATTTTTGAAGAAACTATCGCCAAGTCAATGAACTGCTGACGTCGAAATTCTCCAAATGCTCAGTTTCAATTCAGTTAAAACACATTCTTCCATATCGTCAACAGGCACACAAAATGATTGTCCTGTGTTAACACGATCTGATGTAAAAATATGAAATTCACAGAAACGTAGTTGGACTATTTTAAACGGAACATTGCGATTGAGACACGTTTTTGCATGAAAACCACATCCTGCAGAAGCATTCTCACCAGTGAAACTATTCAGAAAATATGTGTCTGTTATTTCCACGCGAGGATAATAGGACAACAGATAAGGGAACGGCAATAACGCTCATCCTGATAACGAATAAGTACTGAAGACTTGCAATACGTTGGCGTCTATCGAACGATCTTAGCTGGTTCCGACAATAATCTTTTGTTGTCATAAATCTTGAACTAATGCACTTCCAGGCCGACTTGGCTGTTTACGTTCACCGTTTTGCAAAGAAGTATTATAACGAATCATGAGGGTTGCAGAAAATAAAGAATAGATTCATAGTACACAGTCAAATAATTTACAGCAAGCAGTTACATTTTCTTTTGATTAGAACCATTTTTCAAACTTGTAACCACTTGTAATGTTCTTCGTAATACCATTAGCACACATGATCTACTTTTTAATCTTCTTTCCTAACTTATTTACATATGTTGTATATTATGTGTAATTAAAATTAGAGGTAAAATTTAACACTAATATTACTTGAAACCTGAATATAATAAAAAGTTCTATTTTAATACAAAATGGTCATCTATCATCAGAAGATAAATGATTTGCTGCCATTTGGAAATTTTGACTTTAAATATCGAATACTTGCCAGAAATAAAAATGGACGTATTAAGGCGATTTTATGGTTTACACGTGTGTTACTGTATAATAATTTAATAACTAAGATTTTCGCGACGGGCGATAGCCGGATAAAACGTTTTGAATACGGCATATGATTTTCCCAAGTCTCATGTAAATATTACATTTCAGTATGACACTTACAGTCATTTATTCTTCAAAGTTTTAAAAGATCAACCATTACAAATGCGTATAGGAAACACAGGAAAAATTTTAAATAACGCAGGACTACGTTTTCCGTATTCTGCTAAAGAATTTGAAATAACGTAGGACTACGCCTCCCGTCGCGAAAGTGTTTAGATTATTTTGTCATCGACTATTATTCATATTTGTCCTTTAGCATAGTATTTATTAAACAACAGAGTAATAAATTTATGATTTTTGAAAGTCATTACTTTCATTTCTACTTATGTAGTGAATTAGCGAACACCCAGTATATATCAATCGGCTAACGGAAGTTTCGACATCATCAATTTGAAGAATATATCAGAACGTTCACTAAAAACATGAAACCACTTTTTATACGTACCTAACATTGATCGATAATATGGTTTGATTTTTCTCGATCGACAAATTTATAGGCCGCATTCTGCTTAATGTTGCTTCTATACCACTATAACTCGGCATATTTAGGTAACTGAAGAATCAACATAATCTGCATAACCGTGTAAAATTCTGTTTTCAATCCAAGTACTCGAAGATAATTACTTCAAATTAACAACTAATTATTTATTGAATCTATTTTGAAAATCCTTATATTCATTTCAGCAAGTGTAATATACTTTTCATTCTCCAAAAAACGTAAATAAAAGTAATCCTCTAATAACAGGACCGTTGAATGCTACGAGTGTACAGAAACGTTAGGATGAACTGTTATGTAAAATGGAACGTTTAGGCCAAGGCAAGCAGAGAATCGAAGAAAATGTGAAAAGTGCAACACAGTGATGTAACGAGGACAGCTCGTTCCGTTTGAGAACGCGTCAGAAAATGAACTGAGGATGTACGGAACGGGTGCATTGGGTATATACTATATTGTTTATACAGCGCCTCTATAAACTATGGCAGAGAAATAACAGATATGCACCGCTTCATAAAGGTTTATATACGCAAGGGACGTTTGACACACTTGACACGAATGGCGTTCAATGAATGCTCACCCTATCGACTGGTGCACAACTCCCAAGCTTCATGACATGTTTATACGAATAACGTTTCATAGTATAAATAAAACACTTTTTATTCGCACGATAAAAGTTTGCAACTTTCTCAGATACTGTTCGAATACACTGCTCCAAAATAACGGACTTCATAATATGTTTATACGTAAATATAGCGTTTCACAGGACAAACGAAGCACATTGAATCCGTAGAATAAAGGTTTGCAACTTTCTCAGATGTTGTTTGAATATGTTGCTCTGAGATAAAATGTGATCGGCAGACATTTTTGTAAAAAATGACTTTTGGAGTCTCATAGGTTAAAAAGTGGGTTTTGCAAACCCTTAAGTATGATGATATTTAGTACGCCTAGGTGATGTAAATGAAAAACAATGTTCTGCAAAACAAAACATTCAGAAATTGTGGTATTCGAAAATTGAGTACAATTAAATATTTTGTTTCTTTTCCAGTTGAATATCAATATCTTTTATTGCATTATCGTTGATAGTATTTTAAAATCTTTATGGTGTAAGTTAAGTTAGATATCTTGATGAAAGTTTTGATCTGTAAAAGACATTTTTACTAGACAGATTGCACAACAAGTAGAAATTTTCTCTGCAAACTTCCAATTTTTAACAATGGGTGTTGAAGAATGCATCAAGTTCATAAAGATTTATGAATAAATTTAAGTATGATCTTTCATCAGAGCTTTGACATTTATTGATATTACCTGTTTGAATGTGATTGCAGTAAAGAAAAAGTAGGTTTTTAGTATTGTGAATCTCATGTATCCAACCAAAATATCAAATTTCTTCAGATTTCAATTTATTGGTCAGACCTGTCTCCTTTATCATTAAAAACACGAATGTTTGTAATTACATCACATATAAACACGCATGAAAACACATTACAAAAAGCACAATCGACATCAGCAATACGTGATTTACAGAAACGTACTCTGATTAAAATACGTTAAAAAATAAAAACAATAAGAAAATTTTAAAAAAATTTTATAAACCACAAAATTAATTATTATAAGATATACAAATAAAGCCAAATACAGCTTCATTGCACTAATATGCCAATATCAAGTACACTTGTCCATTTTGCTAAACAAATCCTCGCAGACATTTTATTTTTCATTTAAAAATTGAACTACTTTATTACCTGATACCTAACATTCGATTTTTTATTTAGCAGTTGCAGAAATTCCAGACTAATGAATCTTCTAAAGAAAACAATTCAGACCACGATCGTTCGTATTTATGTACTTTTAATAGTGTTTGTTCATAGCTGGGTATAGTCTCATTACTTCAGTATTTTCCATAGCAATAGTGTTCCGCACACGTGAACAAACGATAACCTGACAGGCTGTGTAAACAGAGTTTTTCCATTGTCATGCCGCTTGCATCCGTTTCCAATGAAAAGGGACGGGTATGTGTATCTCTTCCCATAATACCGACCCACTTCAGCGTCCTTTTCTTTTTACTTGTGGAAACCAATAGATCCAGTACCCGGTATTCTGTCCTTTATAATTTATAACGTGTCAGATTTCATATGCATTCCAATAATGCATGCATTTTATAACAGATTAATTTCGAAATCGATATTAGGGAACCTCTTATCATTAGCCATTTTAGGCTTACTGTTCTTTTTTAACACTAGCACTACTAGACAGGTCAAAATAGCCTATTTCTGATTTCTTCTTTTTGATATTATTGAAAAGATAACACGATTTTCAGAGAAATTACTAAAAAAATTGATTCAGCAATATGCGAACACATTTTTAAATTAACTCCTTGACCTATGATTTCTTTCTGAACTGTGATCGATCTAATTACTTTGTTATTAATCCATTTACATCACAAGAAAAAGTGGAAAATTGGTCCTCACCACCACAAATGTTTCAATTGCATCAAAATAAAAATGGTTCAAAATGTATAAAAAATTAAAAACCTATATAGCCACACGGCAATTATTGCATTTATAAAATGTATCTTTCCTTTTTTTTTGTGATGTACAGATTACACAACGGTGGCGCGCATATAAGCGCTTATGATGCAAATGGGTTAATAATTTATTGAAAATAAAAGAAAATTCTGTGTGCTCTGAGGTATAATCATTGATAACAAAGGAATAATATGTACTTTGCATTCAAACTGTTTGTATGCCGCGATGCTGCTTGTTTTAAGACCTTGACATTAGAAAAGCATCCGCCGATATACGGTTCATTTTCCAGATTAACCCTTTGCATTCGAAACTTTTTCTTCAAGGAAATTTCTTCAAGGACTTCTTCGTTTTCCAGATGCGGATAGAAAACAGTCGTATCAAACCACGACATGTACATTTTCGATTTAGAAACAAATAATTCCGTTTTAATAAATACTTACTTTAGTTTCAAATTATCTTTGAATAATTTTCTTTGCAACATTCCCTCCAAATATAAAGTTGGGTTATACAATGTTTGAAAGTTTCATAAGACATATCGAATTGAATCAGTGAAATTAATGATTGGTTTATAATGTATACATACATCGATTACTATTCACATAATTTCCAATGTTAATTTGTCTTTCAAATAAGCCATGAATGCATAAAATGTACTATTTTTGATAAACCTTCAACAAGACTTTAATAAACCAAACTATATCTCTGTAATGTATGGTGACTAACCCTACAACGTAGGGTCATCTAACATGAAGTGGAAACATGAGTCATGAAGTAATTTTCATATCATGGATGACAATCATTTAACGTTACCGGATTTGAAAACCTTACTTATCGATGTCTTATCGTTTCTTTCGAGGACAAATATTTCCATATTTGATATCAGGTGTCTTCATTTGTATAGGTTAACTTATTTTTATAAAACATTTACAACATATTTTGTGTGTTCTTATGTGTTTTCGAAAACACATCATTACTTACATTTGTTTATAGTAAAAATAACTAGTTATTACAACAAATTAACCGAGTATATATTATTGAGTATATTAATTAATTGAGTATATACTATTTTTAGTAAATACTTCATTATCTTGATTATGTTCATCTTACTATGTATGTATATCATGACGTGCATAAGATGCATCCAAGATCAATAAACTGTAGGGAAATCGATCAGGGGGATAGATATATGTATGTATCGAGCTGTTAAGAGACTGTAAAAAATACTAGTTCGATAAGATAGTGAAACTGAGAAAATAAAGAAGGGAATTTTGATAATACGACGAAATTCTAGGAGAATAATCCATAAAATAAATTATTTCTGTTTTGCGTCATAGTCACACAATTGAAAATTACAAATTAGAATGAATACATTAATATGCATTTCTACCTCAATTTGTAAACAAACCCGAAACGAATCTCGAATACTTGAAGATATGAATATTTCTATATATCATATTCATACAGTTTTTACTGAACAGTAAATACGTGGTATTCAAATTACAAAATACCCAAGTAAGAAATGTTAATATCAACGTATGTACCTAATACTAAAAAACTTTTGATCATATTACTATTCAGAAAGGATAAAAATAATAAAATAAACAAAAATAGTATCCACGTAAACATCTGCCATACAATGAATATTGGCGAATATTATTTATTAATCTTTTATAAAATTATAAATTTTGATATCTAATACCAATCTTTGTATAATGCATCAATATATGAAGTATTCACATAAAATAGCTTCGTTCCTTAATTTGCGTATAATTTCTCGTTCAGTTAGTTTTAAAAAGTGTCGTTGATATCTCGTTAGGAAATGTTGAACAATTCTAGCGGAAAACTTTCCAGTGCAAACGGTTAATTTTGTTTTACCCGTGCCATGAAAAACAAGGAATGATACATTGCTCGTAAATAAGGTCAGTTTTGCTGACAGTAATAATATAAAGTAATAATCATAATACTAAAACTTCTTACAACACGAACAATTACATTCTTCTTATATGCATTTTAATTAAAATCCTTTTTGTCCTGTCAAATATTAAAATATTTTTTCCGTTAAACAGAAACACAAGAGGGAATACATGAAACATGTAATTTCACCAGATAAAAAATGTGAAACATTTATTCAAGTCGTATTTCTAGAAACTCCGATTATGCTTACTTACCTAGAACATTTATCTGTCATTTAGATCTATTTTCACACCGCGAATCAGTGGACAAATAAATCATGACAAGGCACCCTAGATGTCCGCAGCAGCGAGCATTCATTCGGGACGTGTTAATTAATGGTCATGTTCTGATTAAACATTTATATCACTGTGCAAGAGATAATATGAAACGATTACAAGTGTTTAATTATGCATCACTTTCTATCCGGTTTGTTTACTTCCATTCTTGCTCAACGGTCACGAGTGGCTTTGGACTCGAGATGGTTATCAGAGAAATAATGAAGGAAAGGAAAAAAGTGTGTTTACATTGCAGTCAATTCATATGCGTGATTTATATTTATATTGCGCTCCCATATATACATACATCGTTTACAATTGTATCGTTTCGCAATACGTTACAGCGAGCCCTTAACCGATAAACTTAATTCATCATTTATTATTAACCCTAATAATAATAATCTGCTGGTATCGTAGACCGTTATCAAACTTTTCATTTCTGTATTCGTGTATTCACTTAAATATACGCTTTAAGCAAGTACGCTGTAAATATGGAACATCGTGTACAACTACTTGTTACCAATCAATCAAAAATTACAATTTACCTTATTAATAATTGGAAATGAAAGTAAATTCTAATACATGTATTTGGTATGTTAGATTTCACACTAGAACAACCGAATGTTTAACACGATTAGTATGTAATCTTTATAAAATTTGTAATAGATTTTTTTCAGTTTCTTCGTATATTAATTGTAATATTGAAGTGAAACTATTTTTCAAATCATTTCGGTTATTTAACGCGTTCAATATGTCAATAATTGCAAAATAGGAAAGCTAAAACCCGCCATTTTGACTGATGCGGTTGTTCTAGTGTTAAACTGATGAGATTTGGTATAATTGTCTTAATTTACTTAACGTACGCATTAAATGTAATTCGCTACTTGCGATTTACATGAAGCTTTGGAGCTCGATGCTGCTTACTTGTTCTACGTCTTTTTTTCTCAGTAATTAACGTGATCTATTCATATTTAAATTGTAGTACGCCAGAATTAATTTTAATACGCGTGTTTTCATGGCGTTACAATGTGACGTAATAAAACAGCGTAACGATAACAAACGCTTTATGCAAAGGGTCAGTGTCAGTCGTTTCTTATCGCATATAAAACAATCTACTTGTAACATTTACAGTGGAATTATTAAGACGCAGTTCCCTTAATTTTAATTTATACAAGCATCTATCTTAAGCAATTAAATTACGCTCTTAGCTTCTCATGTACATTCATACGTTATATTTAATACTCAACAGAAGTTTCTTATCGTAATCCCTTAGTTCACTTTACAGCGGTAGTCTCAAAGTTTATAAAACCTCTTGTTAAAATCTTCAAAATGAGAAAATGAATTTATAGTATTTCGACAAAATAATTTGTTAGTTGGAAACAAAGAATTTTAAATATACATTTGCCAAGGCAAAGATCGATTGTATTATTACGTTAAAACTTTACTTCTTACTTTAAGAAGTAAACGTTACTTTAAAGTGGATTTTTTAACGTTCCAAATGTAATTTATATTAAGAAATATAAATACACTCGTATAACAAGTTAAACTGAGTTTTTTATTGAATCACAGAAAGATTTTCTCTTACGACCATTGAGATTCCAATATTTATACTACACCCACGCAGTATTAGATAATATTAATAATCTATCCGCGTAAATTGAATAAAAAATAATGCAGATTTTTCATAAGTATATCAAGAAATGTAAAGAATTTCATTTACGAAATACACGTCACCAAACCTCCAAAATCGAACTTTTCTGTCTCAAAAATATGCTCCCGTATCTAGATAAAATAAAGCTGACTCATTAAGCTTAAACAGCTTCGTAATCAGCGGTTACCGAATGCCAATAGTTCAAGTGATAATAAGGAATATGAGTATTTGCATAGTTCTCACACTTGTCCACTTAATAGTGATTTATATCAAAAAGAGGATTACGTTCCTCGAATATTAGTGCACGTAATAATTTTAAAAATCCCATGCAATGAAAAATGAAAATAAAAATGATTTATTTAATTTAATTAATTAAATCAATAAAAATGGATAAATTTAATTTGTATGATAGGCCTTTCAAACTTAACTCACAAGTTCGTTCTATCACAATTCACTAGGCATGATAAACAAATATTTGTTTCTTCTGGTCTCTTCCACTATGATTAAAGAATGTTTAACATTGTTACGTTCAGAACTTATTCAGCACAGAACATATAATTCTATATAATGTCTTTGTTGTAATCGTTTTATCCTAGTTCTCGTTAATTATCCGTTGTCTAAGTCCATTAGTAAATACAGTTGCTCACAAAAGTATCCTCTCATCTATGTGCTTACATAATATATTTCACATTTTTAACGAATGTTGTAAAGTTAAAGTTATCATAATTTATATTGTCATAAACCTTGATCCATATGCCTCAAGTTAGAATACATTCAATTAGAAATTATATACAATTCACTAAAAAAACATTACCTAATGCAGTAAAATATATCATATATGTGGATAGGCGGATACTTTGTTAATTAATGCAGTTCAATTTTAATTACAGTGTGTCACGAGTCGCAAGGTGTTTCACGCGAATATTACATGCAAGTATTTTTTTTACAAATATCCTTGGAGACTAAGATTCTATCGACCTTATCCTAACTCATTCATACTGTGAGATCCAAAGATTGTGATTTAGGGTTGAATAGCCACCCATCAAGTATACATGAAGATTAACTTATTCCTACGTTTGAAAATAAATAGGATGATACTATTAGCAGACATGAACCAGCAGAATAAATTGCACCATATCACTTTATAATCTGATTCATTCGACTAGCAATAAAGGTACATAGGTATCTAACACAGAACCTTCAGTGACTCAAAAATTCTGATTTTTTTTTAACATAAATATTCATGTTCATTTTATAAGATTGTCAAGTAAAACAAAAGAATCATTCAATTTTTATTTTTATCATTTTGTCCAATCTATTATAATTTTAGAAATAAACAGGGAAGTACAGTAACATTATCTCCATTTAAGGGTTGTTTTTACCCTAAGGAAACGGAAAAGGATAAAAAAATCGGTTAATATCTTTCTCGGGGTTTCCTGTAAACATATAAATAAACAGGAGAGAATTTTCGGGTTACCCTAGTTGCTTTGTAAGAATAGTTGAATCTTCTACACGTGAAGATGTTTCACTTTGAGCGTTTTTACACAAGGGCATAGTAAAGTGATATGAGCCAATTTTACTGAAACTTTAGTAGAAAATAGTTTTTACAAAATTAAATTGACACGTACCTTTTTTATCGGTTATCATTTACATTAAAGAGGTTTAAACAGTCCTCTATGTTGATGGTAAGAAATGTATTCAGTGAAACATCATGGAAATTAATAAAATTGAAAACACGTTGTATACTGTAAACTTGTATATTTTTGAATAAAGAATTCAGCTATGCAAACAGATAAAATATCTCCAAGTTTCATTAACATCTGACAGTTTGGATAACGTTACTTCTGAATAAAATGGAGAATCCTACGTATATACCAGCGTTGCCCAGTGATGGGATTCCTTACGCGTCTGCGTTTTCTTCTATCTGTTCTCCCCGCACACATTGCACTCATTTCCAGTTAATGAAGACTGCGAATCCTTATACAAACAATCACTTTTACAAATCATTCTTTAAAGTCAGAATAAGGAAAAAATGTATCTTACTAACTAAAGGATACCTTACGATGAAAGTAACGTAGCAAATTTCATTACTGTTTATTAATTTAAATGTCTCCTTGCAATTTATCAATTTCTAAATGCTACAAATCTATAGAGATCCACAACCTAGTTATGTGTAACGTGAAAACGAAATCCCTACCGCAATTTTGTCACTCTTACTTTGAAGGACACCCTGTACAAATTTATTTTATTGTGATATAAAACCTATGCATGTTCATGTATTATATTATATTATATTATGTATAACCTGAAAAATACACATGATTTTCGAACTGACTGTATCAGTTGTTACCTACCGGGTGTTTCAGATGAAATTTCCGAAAGTTTCTCGTTTATTTAACACATTCACAAGCGGCAAATTTTATGCTTTTCTAATACTCATGGTCGGTGAAAATGAAAAGTTTAAGCTAAAAATTAGAAGATTTGTTTTAAAATATTAGTCTTGAAATGATCTGTTGCTTGAAACGAACAACTTTCGTTTAAAGAAAAGTACTTGCAAAGATCTAAATTTACGGTAGCGACAACCAGAAATAGAATTTGAAAACACGTGAATTCACGTCAACAGTCACGAATGTATTAATTGCAAGAAAACTTCGATAATATGTTTATCTATCACTAAAGAAGACCCGAACCTCCCTATTTTTCACTACATCGTCTGTTTGGTGAGGTTCAGAATAGTAAAGAACAGTAAAAATGCGTTTAAACACGATCTCATTCGTATAATCTTTAATTTGGCCACAGAATAGTCTCATTCGTAAAATACAAAAATGGTTTCAGTTACACATGATCAATTTTTTTCTACACGAATTTTTACATTCCGAAAATTTCCTAATACTATCATGTCTTTCTACCTTGTTACCATACAGAGAATCGTGTTATCTCTTAGCAGACATATCGAAACTGAGAGCGAACAGAGTTCTACACGTACGAATCTGCTAACAGTTCTCCACGCAATAAACCGAATAATATCATGTTAATTCGCTAACTAAATCCAACGATCTTAATATACGAACTTCAAGCCCATAACCTGATAATATGCTAACAACAGGACGCTAATGTATGGTAATACAAATTAGAAATAAATGTAGCAATACATATTCCAGGTTATCGCTTTCTTTCTTCAATGTACCTCAAAGATCATATTAATCTGCCTCAAAGTTTGGTAATTTCTGTATCAGCTACCTTCTGAAAAGTTAGTCTCGTAGAAATTTGTTTAACGAATTTGTGACGAACCATGATTGACCCACACACGTCCATTTTCTATTATCACATATGCGATGGTTTTGTTAATAATAATTGATATATTTAATCCTAATAATTTTTCCAAAAAAATATAAAGGGAAAATATAAGTTAAATAAAACTTAAAAACTTGTAGATCACTTTGATTACTATAATTCGAACCATGAATGATTTTTCTTCAAATTCTTCTTGAGTTGGGAGTTAATTAGTTAATTAGGGATAATAGCAAGAAGCAGTCAGCAAACTTAAATTACCCTTCACGGTAGGCAGCTACCTAAACGCAACAAATTTACATAATAAAATGTATTTTAAATGTTTGTGATTATTTCTTTGTACTTCTCTCCACTTCGCCACAAAGTTTGGCATTCATGAGAACCTTTGCAACGCAAAACCATCCCAATCATACGTAGCTGTTACGTCTCGTTGATCCTCTATACAAACTTTCTCTCCTGCGTAGTTAAAAAGATTTCTAATTTTAGACCTCAGAATGGGCTACCGCTGCGGTAGTTTTATCGGTTCCACAGTTATGAACTTGAAGTCAATTTTTATATGTAGATTATTCCATTTGATGATCGTATTAAAAATTATACCATTCGATTCGTCATAACGTGAGTTTTTCTTAAATGCATAGAAATCGTTGCATCCTATTAGCCCCAATATATTCTTTCAAAGTTGACCTTTTTCCTAAAATTATCATTTGCTCTCAGCATTGAGATATAAAACTTATTTGCACACCTGCCTTCAATATTTCAAATTAAATTGATACTTGACAGAAAAGCGTGATAAAAAATAGAATGCTTCTAAGGAATGCCAAGTCTAGGAACTTTGCATGAAAGAATACAAAATTTGGTTAAAATCACGGAAAAAGTAAATCAATTAAGATGTGGTAGCAGTAATTTATATTTTGCTGTTACTATTATCATTTACTTCGAATTCATCAATCATAAAACCTTATTGTAAATCAAAAATTCGTACACTTCATGATTACCCGAATCTCCTTCATACAATCGGACTCATCGGTTCAATGCTAAAAATTTAATACATCTCGTATCAAGATTGTTTTTTCACTGTGTAGTCTATTAAAATAGAAATTATAAACGTTAGGCAACATATTTACAACAAACAGCTACCAATAAAATCGGCGTCTAGAAACCTCTATCAACTAGGCTCCGTATACTATTCGTAGTGCTCTAATGCATCTTATTCATTGCTGGTATTACTGAGCCTCGTCAGTAACTACCAACCTCTCATTCCAATTTACAATTCTGTACCTTACACAAAAATGCGTTCGAACAACGCATTACGTGCCTACGCATCGAAATTTAGGATTCATCGCACTGCGGACCCATAATCATGCGCAAAAGTTTCATACCGAGCGATAGAGCGTCGGTACTTTCAACAACTACCTCCGTAGTATATTCATAAATACGTTTTACGGTATTGTTTATACCGACGGTGTATGTCGTCGATGTAGAGATTGAGAAAATCACGGAGAAAATATAGATTCTCTTCAACCTTGTTGTTTCGATGTACTCGGTGCGTTTGGATCTTGAACGCCCGCGTTTGACTGATCTGTAATCAACCGTGTGAATATTTTACTGTATAACATTTTTTAAATAAGGAATTGTACAACCATTTTGCTTTATATGATTGATTAATTAATTAATTAATTAAGATACAAAATCAAAGATTGATACGAATTCATGCTCAAACTAGATCCTACAAATTACATATATCTATAATATATAATATTATATATCGTATTATAATTTACATATTTATATTAAAATTATGACCAGTTTTTCATGTGCTATTATCGTCTTGTAGTCAGAAATTTGTAATTGAAATTTATTATAATTTAAAACCGAAATTGAGACACTGGTTTCATCACTTTTGATTTTCATTTTATGGCATTTTTCTTAAATTTACCTCTTAAAATATCTAGATATAGTATGTAGAATAGAACATTTCACAGAACTGAAAAGTGAAACCACTTATATAAAAATATAGAATGTACCCTTGTAATCATGGTGGTAGTTAGCACATACCTGGTAATTGCAGGTAACTTTTTAGTGACATGCAAAAATGAGGTATTAGTTTTAATACGTATAAAGCATCAATTATTAAATTGAATAATATTGAAGAAAACTTAATTTGACATATCGTAATTAAAATTACAATATATAAAACATTAAAATTATTAAACGAATAAAGATAAAATAATAACATTACTACGAATAAAAAATACACGTATTATATATTCTTTACACATTTGGTATATACTGGGTAAGCCAAATAGAGTATGTACTTATAGACTGTTTAATTCAAACCCACAACAAATAGAAACTTAATTTTTTTTAATTAAATAACAATTCTATAACAATCAATTACACGTTTGACAAAAAATTTAGATATTTTACAAATTAATCGCTGTTTTAAAGGGCTCAATCACTCTTATTACCTGAAAATCTGTAATACTTAAAAATTGGATTAAGATGTCAAAGCGCTTAAACTGCTCCGATTTTGATGAGTTTCAAATATGTTGTTAAGGACATGATTTTGAACAACTTTTTCCTTTATATGTTGTCATCGGAAGGCTTTGGTGTTTGCGATAATTGTGAAAATTTTTTGCCATAAAATCGATAAACCTTATGATTAAAAATTAAAAAACTTTTAAAGAACTTTTACTCCAGTATTCAATGAATGAAATAGAAATACAATTTTGTACAGTAACAAATTTTTAAACGAAATAACAGGAGTTCAATAGTATGCTCTATAATTTTATTAGATTATTATTAACACATAAATGATAAGTTAATTATTAATATATAAATGATGTTGAATTTAAAAAGGCAGATGACATTAAATAAATAAATGATACTGATACGTTTTATATGTTAATTGCAAACTGTTACTTACCTGAGCTGTAAGTATTTATCATTTATATAAGGTCTCGGAGAATTTAATGTTTATTTGATTTACCTATGTTCACAGAGAGATCCTCGAAACGGTCTGGCAAATCTACTAATCCAGGTTCAGCATGACAAGCCAACATGTCGGTTATTGCATTTCTCCTACCGGACCTTCCGGTTGAAAGAAATTTACATAATTGGCCATCGCATGAGTTCGGTGTCACCGATCCATTTCCTAAGATAAAAACGTAATATAAAATATAATAAATGTATTTCTGTCTTACAAACATTAATAATTTGATAAATATAATTAAATAAAATATACAAATTTATATTATTTAAACCGAGGAAACAATATCTTACTGTCATTTGACAGCGATATAAAGGTAATGATACACTTAAAACTATCAACAATGAGAATAAGACATGATCAATTTTTTAAAATAATTTAATATGTTTACAATAAACTGAGAAACAGTTCAAATGATGTTTCAGAATATTTCAGGTTTAGAGGAATTTTGTAAACAACAGTAGGTAATAAGAACAATTGTAATATGCGTACCATGTATTGTAAGAATACAAATATCGATCCTTATCAAAGTAATGGAAGCGCTAATATGTTACGAGAGGTGAACTTTAATAAATGTAAATGGTATGTAAATGAAAAGACAACGAAAATGGAAAAATACGAAGACATAGTCCACTTGCGCCATTATATCTGCATAAAGGTTACACTGATGTTTCGTAAACTCCACAAAAACAACACAAATATACTTGGGAATGTCTGAAGATAAGTGCATACAATCTTTAGTATGAAAACAAAAATTGCAGAAATGTAAATGTTCCGTACGACATTCAGGGTGAGACATTCAATCGTGCCGCCTGTATTTATTTGTAAACCATTTATATCATATCAAACAAATGTTCCACATGTAAGTTATTCAGTATCAATCAAACCAACCGAATTTTCTTCAATCATAATTTCAACTCTTGATGGCAACCAACTTCTGCCTCGAACATTTTTTTTACCAAAAAGGTACATTTCGGTGGTACGATTAAACGACTCATCCCGCTATCAATAAAATGACGTTACGAAAAGGGAAACTTTTATCTTATCTATTTAACCCTTTCCTTCCTGGTGGCTTTGAAACCACATCGAATTTCAATATCAGTAAAATGCGAATCCTATTTTTTGACAGTTAGAATAGTATTTTTTATAAGAATATTTATTTTCATTAAAAATGATAAGTTAGTTAACGTACATTGTGAAAACAAATGTATTTTTCCCAAAAGTTTTTATTTAGAATCTAAAGAATTAAGTTCTATTTAAGTCTTAAGATTAAGAATTTAAGACTTAAATGGATAAATTAATAACAAGAACTTTGCTGTGACACTAGATTCTAATTAACCCTTTTCACTCGGAAGTTTTTCACTAGAAATACTTTAACATTTTCTGATGAGATACAGACGATATTTAGTGGAACTAACTCGTAGAGAAATCATACGTATATTGAGGAACAAAGCTATTTTATTTCAATATCTTTCAAATTGATGCGTTACAGAAAGTATAATATTAAATATCAAATTTTATAGTTTTACAGTGGGAAATCAGGTGGTCAGTGAGAGTCACCTCTCGAGTGCAAAGGGTTAAAATATAGTTGAAAGTAATAGAGGCTACAGTACTAAACTGAATTAACTCTGTTGAAAAGTACTTTGAACAGTATACAAAAAATTCTGTTTTTACTTATGTGATTTCTAAATAAATCTAAGGCTTAACAAATCAAAATTCAAGACATATAAAGTTGCATTTCATTCAACTGCTAATAACAATTGGTAATATGATTTAGCGATTGCGTGTCGATCTACTCTTTGATTTGACAGAGTTCGTTCGTGTAACTGCTGTGTCGTGTAACTGCGGAATATCTGATTAGTGGTGCGATCAACCCATGTAATTATGTAAGCTATGGTTAGGCTACGATCTACCTATAAATAATATAATGTTAATGCACGCAACAATGATAGCAGAGGTTAGTTATTATGAAAAATGCAAATGGTCATTTCAGATTCCGGAAGTACGTGGCATTCATCATAAAACGCCTTGATGACTCTAAAAACAGTTCATAATGATAGTCACTACACTGTGGAACTTTATGCAAATTCAAATTTTTAAGGAAATATTAGAAAAATAGAATTATGATAAAAAAAGTTTTTCCTAATAGATATTATAAAAAGCACTACACACTTTGAATATTTTATATATTTTTTTGTATCGTGTGCATTTTGTGCAACTCAACGCTCTTAAATTTCCCATAAATAAATAAAAATCTACACCGTGACAATAATGTTCAACACTTAAAATCGTTAGTAAAATTTAAATATAAATTACTAGAAATATAATCGACACAGAGGGAAGATTGATTTCGCCTGCGAGATACTAATAATTCTGTTAGGTGGGTCGACTGGAAACCAATGAACGTCTGTATCTCGACAATGAAGTAAGATATGTATGTACCTACCAATCTGCCTAAAGAGTCAGTTCGTAGCTACATTCCCTTTCTATATATCTGCTAAGTCTCGATAAGTTTGCTTGGCCCATTTGCTTAAACCCTTATAACATCAGAAATACTTGAATTGATGTGAAACCTTCAAGAATCAGGGACTATGACCTTCTTGTATTGTATTATGGATTTCTTCAATGCAACTCAGAACTTTTTGGCCAGTCGAATCCATTGCGTGGGGTGTCTTGAAACTACTGCTTGCAACTGCTGGTCCTGAGACTAGAAACTAACTGATCGTCCACAGGGAAGATGCAGTAAGGGTAGGTTCGAGGCGACTTTCAGAACTGAGTGGGGTGTTGAAACAATGTCATTGGCTGACGACACTGAGAAATGAGATATGGTGGGGGTGAGTACGTCATCGACTCCATGTCGAGCAGGTCCCCAGGTAGGGGAGTGGGCCTGCTTGACCGTGGGGGAGCGGGCCCGCATGCAAGGGATGGTGCTCGAGCGACGCTCGACTACCTGGGTTGAGGATAATCCTCCCTTAACTGAAAATAATTGTTGTAGCCAGGAGACACAACCTCTCCATCTGGAAATCCTGTGCTAAGATTGGCATGTTGTTTGAGTAAGAAGATCCCTCATGGCTCAGGAACGGTTTGAGACGCAGAAAAATTCCAGTACAGATTGTGCTCTGTCGCATTGAAAAATTGGAAATCTCAATGATCCCTTCATCTCAATGAGTTACGAAGCATTGAGAGCATTGAGACGTATTTCTGGAAGTCGCTCGGCAAAACAGAGACTTATCGTTCAAGAACAGTAAATACATGTCTCATAAAATTGGATCTGTCGCTGCTTGCGTACATAAAATCAATTCTTGTCAATCGTTTCGCCACCGTTTTCATTTTACACGGGGATACAAAGTCAACGTCGACAGATTCAGTCATCCATTAGACAAAAATAGCTATGAAACACAATAGAGAAGAAGACAAATTATAGCCTAGAACGCAATCGAATGTGAAACATTTATAACCCTTGGATTTGTGATATTTGATGTACATAATTGTCTGATATCTTTAAAGACTTCAGTAATTTAGTTTATGGTAATACATTTACTTAAAAATTTAAATATTAATAAAGGAACAATAGTATTTCATTTATATATAAGAACAGTGAATACTATTTGTTATCGTTAACTGCAGATCTTCGAAAAAATGTAATTGCAATGGTTTTTACAATCGCATAAAAGTTCATTTATGTGATAAAACTTGAATTAATATTGTAGGGATAGAAATGCGATGCGACACAGACAACGACCACCCGCAATTAGAAGGGTCCGTCGGTCGGTGGTGACGCAATACCCACATACATTGTAGTGCTTAGTTCTTAAAGTATGAATGGACGACTACTTGGGCGTGTGGCTGGTATCACGTTGTAATGGTATGGCGCTGGTATGTTTGGGGCAAGCATGACTAAAGACAAGGTGATCTTGAGTGGATGAAAATGTGCAAGGAAAGAATGTTTAAAATCGAGCGACTTGCAGTCAGGTGGGAATGACGTGATTGGGAAAGTGTATACGTGATCGAGTGAATACTAGTTATGGATGCAAAGGACAGGGTGCAAGTGAGACGCAATGCATGTGAAAGAAAGAATGAATAAGGGAGGGTGAATTTTAACACTAATCGTATCAGGAACCGGTCAAATAACCGGATTTAAAATTCTACGTTTTCTTTTGTTCATTTACATAATTTTATATTAATTCCTATACTGTCCGATTAACTGGTTTTCCAATTTTCATCCTTCCTTTTATTTCTGTTTCCACTAAGAAAAATGTATCATCTAATTTGTTTATCTCTATTTTGTAGCCAGTTATTTAACCAGTTAGGGTAAGAAAAATGCCGGTATGGTTAGTGTTAAAAATGCATGGAAATTGAGCGGCAGAGCAGTATAATTAGTATAAAAGAGAATAGTATAACATAGTTTAAGGGAGTTTGCGGCGAACATACAGTAGATGCACACTTGTTTCATTCGTTGAGTTCAATAAACCTTTGTTAATATTACAGCCTGCTACGGTGTCCTAATCCTACAATAAGTCTGAGACATCCTATGAGATGTTACAGCACAACACAAAGTGTTAATGAATTTATAGAAGCAATTTTGAAAATATCACAGCAATTATTATAATAATAATTAAATAATAAAGGTAAACCATGTTCTGAATTTCATATACGGTGGGGTGAAACTTTTTATTTTGTCGATACCGTTGTGAATCCTGATATGTATCTCCTAGACCTTTCCGATTCGTTAGAACCTGTCATCTCACCCTCACAATTTCATTCGGAAAATAGACGTTCCAGTGACATTGATACACGACCTTTGTAAAGAATTAGGCTAGGGTATAGTACCTCTTAGTACAAATATCATGTGACAAAAATGAAATAAGTAAAAGAAATGTATCTATAATTAATTTACTAATGTAAAGAATAATAAAAATAATAAGAATGATATAATAAATCTATTTATATGGGAAATAACAGTTAATTTTCATAACTCAAGAAATTGAACTTTTCAAGAAAATAGTTTGTTTTAATATTACTTCCTGACAATTTAATGACAAATAAATTTGTATTTTATCTATTTCGGCTTAAAATAATAACTTTAAAATTCGGAGAAAAGTATAATTAGTTTCATTAAAGTTCTACTTAGAAGAAGGAAATTTAAAAATGTTCATAGTGACATT